CGCTAGTATACCTTCTTCCTTTCCTCCTTCAAGCCTCCTCTAGTTTATCAACATTACAGAAAAAAAAAGCCAGCCCTCTAACCATGCAAGCCTATTTTGTTGATATTTGAATACTGTTTTAAAAATAAAATGCATTTTGCTATTCAGAATTTAAGCAGGAGTTTGGTACTGTGGCAGTTCAGTATATCTACTGCACCTCTAAGGGACCTTTCTTATCCTCTCTCAAGGTCCTGAAGTTTTTGGCCTTACGAGGGATGACATGGGTTTGGCCACATCTCTCTCTTTAGTGCAGAAAGAAAAGACAGTCATATGAGAGGTTCCAGACTCTGCTTTTGGCTTTCTCTCTCCCTGTGGTCCCTCGTATGCTGTGTATAGCCCATACTTTCCATCCTGTACGTTCTTGCTCCCCTTCTCTTTCTATTAAGAAAGTGTATGGTGTGGAAGTCAATTGTCTCTCTGCACAGGTAGAAACTACTGTCCCAAGAGAATATATACTTTGCAGTAATTGACATAAATTGTTTCCCTCTGCAGCTACTGCTTCTACCTGAACAAGTGTACCTGTGGAGCGGATACTGGGGGATGGGGAAAAGTAGTAAGGATGCCTCATGCTTCCTTCTTTCCCCTTTACGGTGACTGTGCCAGCTCTTTGGTCTCTGTGTTACTGGAGTATTCCTCCAGATCCTGCAGTTCCTCCCTCTATTTTCATTGTATTGCAATGATCTTCTAGTGCCAGTATTTTATTTTTGAAGTATAGGGCTGGTCTACCGAGACCACAAAAACATGACCTGAGCAGCACAGAGTCTGCACCTACGGTGAATGATGACTTGGGGCAAAGCTGCATTAGCCTGTCACATTGGGGTTGTGCTTACAAGAAGCCTTCTTGTGTGGCTTTGCTAAGGACCTGTACTCCGCAGAGCCCAGGTTCTGTGATAGTGAGGTGAGGTAGCTATCTACTTCAGCCTAATGAATGGGGTCTTTTTTAGATGTAGGAGTGTCCTGGTTTCAGCTGGGATAGAGTTAATTGTCTTCCTAGTAGCTGGTACAGTGCTATGTTTTTGAGTTAGGTATGAGAAGAATGTTGATAACACTGATGTTTTCAGTTGTTGCTGAGTAGTCTTTAGACTAAGTCAAGAGTTTTTCAGGTTCTCATGCCTGGCCAGTGAGAAAGCTAGAGGGGCGCAAGAAGTTGGGATGGGACACAGCCAGGGCAACTGACCCAAAGTGGCCAATGGGGTATTCCATATCATGTCACACCACATTTAGTATGTAAACTGGGGGAGTGGGGTCTGGGGATCGCTGCTTGGGGACTAACTGGGTGTCGATTGGTGGGTGGTGAGCAATTGCGTTGTGTATAATTTATTTATTCCAATCCTTTTATTATTACTGTTGTCATTTTATTAGTGTTATCATTATCATTATTAGTTTCTTCTTTTCTGTTCTATTAAACCGTTCTTATCTCAACCCATGAGTTCTACTTTTTTTCCCAATTTTCTCCTCCGTCCCACTGGGTGGGGGATGGGAGTGAGTGAGCGGCTGCGTGGTGCTTAGTTGCTGGCTGGGGTTAAACCATGACAAGGAGAAGCCCTGCTAAGTAGCATCTGCCTCAAACCTATTTCCTTGATGATTGTTTTTCTGCCTCTCCACTGCCTCTTCCACAGGACTGTAGCATAAATAGCACAGTCTGATAAATACTGCAGAGTACATTTCAGTTCTTGCATCTTCTTCATGTTATTGCCTGCTACTTCATTATACAGTTACAAAAGAATCATCTCTCACACTAATCTTAGCTGATGACAGTAGCTGTTGATTCTAGTTTTGTACAGAGGGCTGGCATGCCTGCTAGCATTTTTGGACTTTTCCCCTAGTCAGTAGTGAATAGCAGGCATTTGTGCCTTGAAATTTCTTATCACCTCAAATGACATTTCTCTCTTTCTTTACTGTGTGACTTTACACTAAGTCATTCAGGAATAATCTAAATGAAATTTTGATTTTACATTCTGCTTTCTTTTTAAAAACACATTATTTAGTGGACTGCAGAGGCTTCTGTTACCTTGGCAAATGTTATGTCATGGTTCTAGTAAAAACACAGAAAACTATCAGTTCAGGAGAGATCTTGGTTCCATTACATCGAAATAGAAAATCTTTACTTACCTGAGGGCAGCAGAATGACATGCCAAATGTTATGTCCATTTAAAACCATCATCACTGAACCGTTTTTTACTTTTCCCCTCTGTTTGAAATACTTTTGTAATTAATGGATTGCTAAATAAAAAATGTTCCAGCAAGACTGTAGAGTTTTCATAATGATGTTTTAAACATATTTAATTCTCTTCATTTTCAATATGCTCTGTTAGAAGACTGAGCATTATATGTAAATTTTCTGTATAAAAGTACAGTATGCTCAACTTCCCAATGTAACGGCCTATGAAAGAGCAATGTAACTACATAGAGGAAGGGATATACTTTCCATCGGCCAGGTCTGAGACCCTTTTCTCTCTCACCATAACGCATGGCTGAAGAGATGCATCCTGAGAGGCAACACTAGACACTAGGTCCAGTCATTAAATCTATAGATCTCACTTATTTTAAATAGAACATATAGGTAACAATCCATTAGGGAGGTCAGAAAAGAATTAGAATGTAGATCTATGCTTTTTATTTTATATATGCTATATGCTGTAATTTTTCCTTAGATTATCATACCTCTAGTCAAAGAGAAATGTGGCACAAGGGTTCTTCCCCCTCACTGAGGTAATAGGTTCACATATGAATGAAGGAACTTGTCTTTTTTGCTTAACAATTTACATTCCTTCTAACTCCCTGTTACATTTTGCCAGTGTTGTAATCTAATCTCTCTTTTATCAGATTTCTTGTCTGATTTCTTTACTTGAGAGCATAGACCTTTTCTGCCTCAGAGTGAAGAAAGAAATTAGGGCTAAATTTGTTTAACTCTGCATGACTCAAATTTGTTAATGTTTTCAAAACAAGGTAGTACTACATGTGTAAGAGCAACAGACTATTGAATGATTGGGAAAGAGGCAATATGAACCAGGTACTCAAGTGTTATAAACTAGAATAACTAGGAGTTATTCTGATCTAGTCGTCATTTTTTTTATGCACTTACCCATTCAATTAAGAATTCTTTATTGAATGCAAGAAAGCTATTTTAGAAGGAAGGAAGAGAGATGAGCCAGAAAGATAATGTAATTTTTTATGATTGCCTCTTGGTTATGGATCCAGTACTTCAAACAGTCCTTAAACAAAATACTATTGACTTTACTGATAGCAGAAGCAAGTTAACATCCCTTTTCATACGATACAGCTAATGATAACTTTGGGAGAGATGAATATAATCCAACTGAAATGTCAGCCATTAGTTCATGATACTCCCTCACACAGGTGAGCACCTTCATAAGTGAATAGGATTTTTTTGAACATGCACATAAAGAAATCAACAAAACCAAGACATAACCTCAGTAAACAATGATTGTTTAAAGTGAATTGAATTCATTTCAGATCATACATGAAGCAAAACTCTGAAAAAATAATACTGTTTTAAAATAAAGGAGGGTTATACAGCTTCTTTCTGACACAGATGAACCAAATCTGAGAGCTACTATTTCAGAATCTCTCTAACTAATCCTTGGAGGAAAATGACAACAAACCCAACCAAACCCAAGGTTGCTATGCTGTAATCCTCAGTGCAGAGTTACATTGCTTCTGTTGCTTCATAAGCACTGTGCCTTTGGCAGTGCACCAGATGTTTGCCTCCAGCTGATTTTGCTTTTGTATACACATTCTGAGCAACAACAAACCAAAAATTTAAAACATGTTAAAAAGAAAAATATTTTGCAATGAGAAACAGCCTCAGCTACTGGACTTAAAATATCAGGTAAATCTAAATGTCAGAGTTCCATATCTTAGCATGTTTTTGTTTTTCAAGAGACAGGATTGGCAAAAGTAAACACTCTTGCCTACAAGCTAGGCTAGAGATGTGATCTATTGTGTTACAATTCAAAGAAGCAACTAGTATAACTTATTTAATCCTAAACAGGGAAAATCTCTCTAAGAGTTTTAATAGTTGTTCTCCTATTTATTAATGTGAAGTACAATAAATGTAAAAGACCATCCAGATCCTTTTTCATGTTTTAGAAGAGCTGCATGTTTTTCTAAGGCTGTGAAGTGCTTCTTAACCAGTATCTAAGTCATATCAATATACTTCAAAGAATGAGTCAGAAAACTTGATATACTCATAAATTTAACTTCCTGTATTTATGTAACATGTAGGAGATAAATGTGCATAAACACAGCTGTACTTATCCTCGACATATTTCAGTGAAGCAGTTGACTATTTGCTTTTAGTTTTGGTCCAAGATCTCTTTGCATTGAATCAAAACAAAGCATTGCAAAATTTTGATGTAGTTTGTCTCTCTCACAAGCTGTATGAGTTTTATCAGTTGAGAAACCCCCCCCCCTTCAAAAATATAAAAAGGATTAAAAAATATTATAAGTTTTGATTATTAAAGTGTAGGTAATTAAAAGAAAAAAAAATCCTTTGCAGGATCAATACTTCACAAATTTTAGTATATTTCCCATGTGATATGCAGACTATTAGGCTGTAGATACCCTGTGCTGTCTGAGATTATTTCAACATACAGCTTCCAGGAGAACAGTAACATGAAGTACATTGAATAAATTATATAACTTAAATGTGTCAGACGTGCTCATTGCAAAACCACAGGTACTGTCCTTAAGACAAGAAAAAATCCTTAAAACTGTAATCTCAAATCAGTAATTTGTCATTATCTTGTAAAATTAAAATAAAAGTTAAAAATACTAATCTATTCTGTAATACTGTGGGATTTACCTAGGGTATTTTGGATACTTTTTTTTAATTAAAAATGCACCAGAATTAAAAAAAGTCAAAGAACATCAAAGAATACTGTACAATTATACCACTATGTAACAGTATGTATAAATACTTGGCAGTAAAGCTTCAGTAGAGAGTGATTTACAATGAAAAAGTTGTTAATATTTAGTTTGACACTGAAAGTTTGCAATAGCAGATGTATCTTCTCTGGGTGTCATTCAGTCCATTCCACTGTGACTGGGCATTGCAGGCCATGCAGGATATCCCCCCCGCCCCCCAATGCTTTTAACTCTCCCAATCACTCCTCCAATGTGCATTTTTAACAAAAAGCCTCCTGTAGAACATGGCAGCCAGATCTGTATGTACTACAAGCCTTACTCTTGTTATTGGTGAATGTCCTCATGCCTGATGATTTTGTAAATTACCCAGTAAAAAATATTGAAAATCAGAAAGGCTAATGGGAAACAAGCTCTGGATATTGTGTCTATCTTCTTGGCCCGGTCAATGAATACCTTTCTCATCTCATCAGGACTTTTTGGTGCAGCTTGAACAGGATTATTTGGCCCCTTTTGTGTCACTCCATCTTTTGCTTGCAGACATGGGCCCATTCCATATGCTGTAAAGCTAAACTGACTTTCCCTTACATCATCATCCTGTTGAAAAAAAGAAAAAAAAAAAGAAAAAAAAGAAAAAAAAGCAAGAATTTTTTTTTATTTACAGAAATCTTACCAGCTGCTAAATAGCAAGTATTACACCATTACCTCAGTGACTTCTTGAATCCACAGTTTATCTTAGCTGGTTGAAATTTCAGCCCTATCAGTACCTGTCAAAAATATTGCAGCAGCTTTAACAAGCATAGAGTTTTCCTATTTGTTTATAGATTCTGTAATCTATTTAGAGACAAGAGAAAGCTTAGCAGACTAGTGGTAATGAGGCACACAACTTCTGGTTTGGTTTAATTTTCCCCATTTACAGTAAATATCCACAGTCTTCAACTGGGCAAACTTCACACTGGTCTTTTAGACAATAGCCATTAACTCCGTACGTTGCTTAACAGAATGGGATCCTGGCCCCTCGAGATACTCATCATACAAGCACTAATGATGTTCATGTTAGTTATATTAGTGAGAATTCTATTTGGTCATTGCATATTTAGTTAATCTTATCTGTATGCCTTATTTCTGCTGTTCCCTGTGAATACATCAGATAAAGAGAATAGTATGTAAAGTGTCTTAGTTTAAAATAAAAGTGAATGAAAGCTAAAGGCCAGATTTTAATTCTGACTCATTCTTCTGTCAATTCAGAGGTAAACTGGCAAAGACATTCTGAATTCAGGGTGGTATAAGAGAAAATGGTGTTTAATCCTGTGGCACAGAAACAGAAGTAGAAGGTCTGAAGATATACATATTTTCATAGCATGTGTTGCAAGAATGTGGCTTCTGTCTGGAGACACATTTTGCACTTCTCTTTACCTGGTTATAGGTACTCTCAAGTAATAAAGGAGGTAAAAATGTAGGCAAATAAATGATACATAGACTGTGAAGCAAGGGCCAAATTTGGTTCTGAAATATATTCTAGTGTATTCCTTCACTATATATGCTACTCAAGGATAGCCATGTGATTTAAATGGCATTTACAATTTTTTTAATACTGATTTTAAATTCAGGATTTCCTATTTTTCATGTCTAATTTAGCCTAGCTGCTTTAGGATTCTAGACTTTTATGAAGTATGACAAAGCATTATGTATATGTTATTTCTTAAATAAGTATTTTGGAAAATATTTTCCGTAAGTATTAAAAAAAGAATTGAGCAGCAGTCAATTTTCCTTTTATAAGAGAATTTTTGATGTTTTGAAGCTCTTCCTAGCTTAAATTAAAATAAAAGGGTAAAAAAATTTATTTACCAAAGCAAGTCAAATAATTAGTGTTTTAGTTCAGTAATTATGAAATATTTTTGTTTTATTTAAACCTCTTACTTTATAGACATGTAATTTCTCAATGAACACAGTTTAAATCCAGACTTCCAAATTCTGCATTTTGAAAATGCCTGTCACATTTGGAAAATCTGAAAATGTTTTGGAATAGAGAATTAATTTTAAAAGTATTTAAAGTTTTGGTTAAGTAGTACTTGCTAGAAGAACCATTGTGAATTACTTTGTTTAAAAAAATTCCAATCATATTTGTTATCAATATTAGTTGAATAGGTTATCTAAAAAAGAATGCAGATCAATTACTAAGTTTGAAGTGAATTAGTTGGCAATCAGCATGAGCATCTGGCAGAGCTGTAGTTATCACTTGACAGCTGTAGTTACAACACTTTTTCATATATGTAAATTGAATAAACTTAAAGACTAATATAGTTCACTGAAACTACTCTACTTCAAATCTGTATTAGAATTCTCCTATAAAAACAAAAAATAAGGAAAAATTAACATGAAAGAAAAGGGGGAGGAAAAATCACTGACTGACTTCAATATGGAAATGAATAATGGAAATACAAAATGATAGGATCATTATCTGATGACGTGATAAAACAAAGATCTAATTACTACAGTAGTGTTCCTCTCCTGTCAAAAAAGAATGGGAAATAACATCTTTATAGTGGTTGTACTCCAGAAGAGTTGTAGTGTAGTATTCCAGTTAACAGAAGTTACAAATATATGGACTGTGAGAACGTACACTAAACTTGCCATTTAAACACCTTTATACGTACAATTCAGGGTTTAAATCTTTTCATGCTTCTCCAGAAAGTAATGTTTATGATTGCACAAGCTCAAAAAGATAATAAAATAATTCTTCTGAGTAGCAGCTTTCAGCTGGTTATGATTTCGGGATGAGGCACAGTATACTAAGACTACCGTCTCTGTTCGATGCTTACCTGAACTGAGCCATCCCCTAGAATGGTTTTAAAGGTCAGGTCTCTGATTTTTTTTTTTTTTTTTGCTTGCAGACATCCCTAATTTAGTCTGCGAGCAGGCTGTGTGGAAATGCTCCCTGTTGTTGAGGAAGTGATGTGAAAGTCCGTCTAGGAGTCTAGCATTTCTGTTGCATGGTGTCTCCATGAGGGCAAGCAGAATGGCTGGAGCCTGCTAAGTCAGACCAAAGTGCTAGGACTAATGGATATGCAGGAAAGGGCACCTTCTGGAGCATTGTAGCATGCCAGGTACCATCATACTTTTTTTTTCTGGGATACAGCTGGAATATCCAAAATGTGGTTCTGCAAGTTTTCTAGCAGGTTCATAAAGCAGAAAAATCATTAATTTGGCCTCAGGTTCATATCTGTGGGTGCTCTTGCACAGCAGGAAAGATGCAGTTATTGTTGTTATTGATATTAACTTTTGAGTGCTTTTTTGAATGCATTTTTATAAAATGTTAGTGTGACCCCATTTGTTTTATCAACTGACTTGGCTACAGTCCTTCTTTTTGACTAGAAATATTTCTCATGATGTGTCCAAGTCCACAGCAGCTGAAATAATCTAATGGAAGTACACTGTATGTCCCAGCTGAGAATTGGAACAGTGAATCTTCCTCAAAAAGTCCTGCATTTTGGTTGAATTTTTTTTTTTATAAATGTAATAAGGAAGCTTTTGTTTTTGTCTTTTGTGCATTTGTTTAGTGGATCATCACTAAAGAAAAGAAAATGATGATTTCTTACTGATTTTTGATAAAGCTTTTAAAATCTTATTATGAATGAACTTTAAAAAAAGTTCAATATGAATGAGCTTTTCACACATACGGCTTTGGAATTAACAATTTGAAAGTTATTCTGCATACAACTACATAGAAATATTTTATCATCTGTATTAAAACTACTGTAATTAAAGATAGGAAATAAATTTAGATAATAATTTCTGTTTAGAAAGTTAGAATTCTCTGGAGGCCTGAGGGAAATTATTTCAATTAGGGTTTTTTTGTATCAGCATTGTTCTACAAAATACTTAGCTATAAAGTATTACAAAGCTGTCAGTTTCTGTGGCCCTGTGACTACACTGTTTTCTGTCCATATATTTAATAATACATTCCTCTTGAGGAGTAATATGCATAAAGGCTGAAAATATCTCTACAACCTTTTGACTGTAGGTTGTGGTAACAGCTTGAAGACTTATTTGAAGCTTATGCTTTGATAATTGAACACTATATTTTTTACTGTTCATTTTTGAGAAGAAAAGTGTTGTTGAATTGTTTTGCACAAAAAACAACTTGGTTTTAAATGCTGATCTGTTAGCAACTGATTTCTCCTTGAACTAATGTCACTGTTCCTTTGAAGTTGCAGAAAGTAAAATTTTAATACTATGTTTTAATCCAGATTTAAACAGATCAAAATGGATTACGGAATTAACAAGACAGGTACCTTTATTAACATTTCACGTCATCACATACAGGTAGCAATGAAGGTATATGGAGTTCACATGGGAAGATGTTATTCCAGACAAAAAGACAGGGCCTCTGTTAATGATCGGATATCACATTATGACAAATGGGACATCTTCTTCACAATTTACCCTTAAATTTGTACTGTAGATTTGAGGCAAAGTCCCGTCTATAGGTCCTGTACATCTCAAGCCATTGCTATGCTGCAATGATTCACTGATTTCATTTCCATCAAGAACTCCCTCAAAATACTTTCATCAAAACGGATGGGTTGACCAAAAAGAAAACAAAAGAAAAGAGGTGTGATTACCATTAAAGACAATCTAGTTTGCATGTCTATTTTCCTCACAAAAGATATGGTGATCTTTAGATTTTTGAAAATAGAATTAAAAGATTGACTATTCCTGAAAACTAAATATATTAAAAGCTAATCTAAAATCAAAGTGTTATTGAATATATATACACAGTTAATATTTTTCCCTTTACAGTGTGAAAGCAACTAAGAAAAAGCACTGGTCGTAGATATATTTCAGTATCTCTGTATGACTTTTAATTCTGCTATTTTTTCCCTATTGTCTTTCAAGACTGAAAGGAGTCTAACTGTAAATGAGTAATTAATATTCATTCATTCTGAAGGAATATTTCCATCACATTAGTAATATAATATTTGTGAAATGGTTGTGGTCATTGGCCAGATTTTTTTCTCTGACAGGGACAAAGCAGTATGGATCATATACTGACTACCAAATGAAGTCTCAAATTGGGAATCAAAATTCCCCTGTTCTCAGAATTCATTATGCCATTTGTGTAATCATAAAGAAACGAGACCCTTTTTTGAAAAATCTCCTATACCTATTGTGATGCCTGTTGGAAAACAGCAATGAGTAGGTTGCTTATTACATTGCAATAACAGTTTTTATTTATAAATGTATTTAAAACACAATCCTGGACACTTCAAAATATTTGTTAATTCTGTCCAAATTGGATTGGCCCTCTGAAAAGAAATTTGTCTTTCAGTTATTTGAATCATTTAGTGAGGTCCATACTTAGAACCATAAAACCAGTAGCCAGAGGGTGCAGTTACACCTAAGTATTGCCTTTGATGCTGCTGTTACTGTCGTCTGGGAAGGGAGGCTGCAAATGTACTAGATGGTATAAGAAAGAGGCAGTGACTGTAGGTGGAAAAAGCATAAGGAAAATGGCAAGGATAGATGAGCTTTGGATGCCAAAATGTCTTGATACAGCCCTGTACATAATTACATTTTAAAAAATTTTCCATAAAACTCAGCAGTTCCTATTTTGTTTGCTACACTTGTTTACTGCAGGGGTTTCACCTAAGTTCAATCATATGGTTTTTAAGAGAGAGATTTCAGTTCTACTGTGTTTTTAATCAGCATTGAGAAGGAATAACCCATAGTTTTGGTTAAATTTACGAAAGACTCCAATCTGGGAAAACCTGCACATTTGTTTGAGGATATGTTTAGAGTTAAAATTTAATTCAATGACTTGGACAAAGAATCTGAAAAATAGAGAAGGAGAGTCAGTGGGTGTAAATATAAGGTACTACATTTAGCCAGGAATAATCAGCTTCACAAACATAAGATGGAAAATGAATGGCTCTGCAGTAGTTCTGGAAAAAGACCTGGGAGTTATGGAAGGTCATAGTCTTGATATGGGTCAATACCATGCTGTTAAAAAGGCAAATGGCAAACTGGCTTGGATGAAGAAGTGTACAGCTTGCATGATGTGATCCATCAGCTGCTCTCACTGTTACTGGTTAGGCATCATGTTGCAAGCACAGTTTTGAGGAATTATATGGACTTATTAGGAGAATTTCCAGGGAAGAGGAATGAGGATGAGCAAAAAAAGAAGACTATACCAACTGGGAATATTTAAAGAAGACTGAATGGAAATGTGCAAATGGCTACATAAAGGAATGCAGTAGTCTGTTCTCTGTGCCCCTTCTAGACAAGCTGTGAGAGGCCAAAAAGGCATGAATAAAAAAACTTTCTAAACCATTGGAATAGATTGCAGGGGATCTTGTGGAATTTTTATGACTGTGATGAATTAGGTATAACTGACACTGACTTAGGTCAGGAAAATGGATTCATTGACCTCCCAAGGGCATTCCAGCACTGAAATTCAATCATCTGACCATTGCTAGGGTTACTTGGTAAAAGTAAATATTTCTTGCAACAAGCATGTCTTTTTTAATTACAAAGAAAATAGACCTTGGAAATTCTTCACCTACCCTATTGCAATTAGATATTATTCATACATGTTCTCCTCTGTCAACATATATCTGAAATGAAATATTTCCAAAACCATCTATTTTTGGATTTTTGCAACACTGACGAATCGCTGCGGATTTTGCTGTACCCTTGCAGATAAATTGCCAGTGCCAAAAAATTCTGTATTCATCGGCTGGAATTAACCTAATCCTAGTAAAATGTCCCAAGATGGTAAGCATGTAGGATGAAAAAAAGTTTAATAAGTTATCCTAACTGCTCTATTACTCTAATCTATTTGGACATAAATACTGAATAGAATAGCAGTTTTCACTTTGAAAAGAAAGAGGATTTAATGTTCAAGCAAGCTCCTGAAGTTTATTTTAAACGCAGACTTTTAACCTAACTTCTTTTCTTCTCTTTTGACTTTGTGGTCAAACAAACATCTCTTTATATGTGGTAGTTTTAAAAGTCAATACAAGGTAATTTTGGAGAGCCAGTGCTATTTGACCTAGTCCAAAGGGATAAAAAACACATAGAAAACTTTATAATCATGAGCTAGAGTAATTGACTTTGAAAAAGACAAAAGAGGAAGGAAACACAACTTAATTTGGCTTATGATCCCAGTGCCTGCATTTCATGTTAGAAATTGTGGTGAATAAATAACAACATTTGTGGTAAGGAAGGCTAGTTATTAACTGCTTTCTTTAATCTATAAGACGCCATTTATTATTTGTATACCAGAGGGTTTAGGATGCGATCCAATTTTTTTTAAGAGATAAAATCTCCATGCTGTAACATTTCAAATTCTAGTACACTTGTTGGTCAAGGAATTGTTTAAGAGAAAAAGAGAAGCAATTAGCTGAGCTCTTTCTAGAGCTTGAGAAGGTGTATTCTCAAAGGATAAGTCTGGACAGGAGCTCTAGCTCTACATAGAATTGGAGTCAGTCAAGAAACATTCAGTTAATCTTTTCAGAAAAATGCCTATTTCTCAAAATCATAACCTTGCATGGGAACAAAGCATTTTTTTAGTAAATTTAGGCTGAGAAACCTGTCTCATGATGAAACATACAGATATAGGGAGGAAGGGAAAGCCATATACTCCCAAATATAGTTAATACCCTCACCTGGGTATGTTATGAAGAAAAGCATTGAAATGGATGTTTTCATCCTTCAGAATCTAAGGAGAATACTTAATATGTTACTACAGACCCTGCAGTCTCTAAGTCTAATTCTCTAATTTTATGAGAACCTAGCAGGCAAGCTACCTGAAGCTAGAAGACTCTAATGAAGTGTAAAATTAGAATAAGGACTTTTACGTGTGAATTCAAAAATACCATGATGTCAAGCACTCATCCAGCAAAACACTTAAGTCAATGAGACTATTCACGTGCATACTTTTTTGTTAAGTGGTCTTCTCTTAGAAGTGCTTTGTATATCCTTCCTCACATACGTCTAAGCTAAAATTTGATTGATTGCGATTGCTGAAAATGTGTCTTTGGTGAACCTGAAGTCTTGCTAAAAGGGGGCTGGAAAGATATTCGGTTTGATTCTGAGGAAGGAAGGTAATAATACCTGCCAGTTTCTAACCCTGTTGTTTTAATAATTGGTATCTATTTAAGGAAGTGAAAAGATATCACTAAAGTTGAATATGGTAAATTTGCCTGAGATCCAGAAGACACTATAATACATGGTGAAAAAAAAGAATGGACTAAAGTATAATCACATAATATCTCACTCACCACAGCTGTTTGATACATGATGCATTTGTCGTGGTTCACCTTCTCCCTGTCCAGTAATCCATCTCTGCCCGTCCCATTCCCCCCATTCCAAACCTTTAAGCAGCTTTCAGACAGCTGCCATATTTCAAAAACAAATACCCTGTCACAAAAATTCTGCTTTCCTCCTGTGTGTCTCAGAAAGCATTTTTTCTGCTGCTGTCAGCAAAAAAGAAAAAAAGCACATTTTTCATGGGGACAAATGTTGAAAGCAGGTACATGCAGTCTGAATCATCCTCTAGGCTGCAGTACATGAGTTTCTCTCTGCACCTGAAGAAGTCTAGGACTTTACACACAGGAACAGGCAAATGTATGAAAATGTCACTTTCATTTGACTGTTCATCCTGCCTATTAACATGGAGTCTTGCTAGCAGAGACTGCTTAGGTAGGCTTTACAGCATTACAGATATTCAATATCTTCTAAGTAAAAGGGAAACAACCTGTAAAATGTCTTCTTCTTGTGATGTAAGCAGTAAATAGAGGTAAGTCTTCAGGAACAAAAGATGGCTGAACTGAGTCATGTTGCTATGGTCAGACTTTCATCCACAGTAATATTCTAGAGAGATAGTGACTGAAAGCCACATACCCAGTGGAAAGGCTCTGCATGACATCAGTGGTGAGCACTCATTTAATGAGTAGGTTGGAGAAACATTTACTCTTTGAAAAATCAGAATTAGGAGTTACATATTGTTATAAGAAATTTTGCTTATTGCTTGATTTAACTGGACTTCAGAATTCAAACCTGTAGCTTTTGCTGTTTGACTTTGCACATTGGTAGTGACTTATTTTACTGGTAGTCTAGATAGCTTCAACTATAAAATAAATATTAATAACCATTGTTATATCAAAGTTTCTTACTAGCTGTATGAACAATTTACATGACAGAAGGAAAAACCCCAACTTCTCAGCCTTTTAAAGTAAATAATATTAATTGAATAAATATTTTTTGTATTGAAAAATTTTTACATGAAACAGCTGTTAAGGCTTTGAACTGAATACTAGAATGAAATTAGGAAACATTATTTGTTGAATCTCAATGTAGTACACAAACTGCTGCAAGTATCAGTAACATTCATCCACTGAAGTATAACGTAGCCCTTCTAACAGAGTGAAATTCATGCTTGTGCAGATGGCTCCCACATGGCCCATGCCTCATTTAAATCCCTCTTAATCCCTCTTCTGAGAATTCAAGTTGGATTTATGCAGTGCGTAGTCCTTGTAGTGACCCTCTGCCTATAGTGAATTTTATTCTCTGCTGCCATTTTATTTATATTGCCACTTTAAGCTGCAGTATGTTTACCAAATTAACCCTATATCCTGGCATAAATCAATCTTAGACTCTCTTTCAAAGTTGTGAATACTGTTATTTTTACCTTGTTCTTCTTCCTCTTGCGGCGGAATCGCAGAAGTTCTTTATGCTGCCTTGAAACAAAGTTTACAGCTGCGTACTCCAAAAGTGCAGAAAATACAAAGAGCAGACACACAGCCATCCAGATGTCAATCGCTTTGACATATGACACCTATGGAGAGAATAGAGCAGAAGACTGAATATGTTAAAACCACAGATGTGAAGTTTAGTATTTCATGTCAGGAGTAAATGCATTAATATCTCCACATCCCAAAACTACTCTTATCAAATAAAACTTAACATGAAAGCTAGATAATAAGAGGGACAACAATTCAGTCTATAACCATTAAATATTATTTTAAAAAATTGAGTCTTTCACAAAATGTGATTACTGTTTACGTCATTAACAGTTCCTCATAGCGTACTGTGTATTTTATCACAAACCAAAAAATCCACAAGAAGCACATGCTCTTCCTCCATTTGTCCCACTGAGATTTGTGAATGATACTAAGGAACCAGAGAATAGTTTATAGTGGGACCAGTGGGAATTCCTATATTATAATGGATCTGATTTAGAGTTCCTGGAACAGAAATTAGGTAGAAGAAGGGAGATGGATGGAGAACTCTGATATGTTCATTCTCTGCTAACACAGGCATGGTAAATCAAAGATATAGGTTCAAATTAGTCCTGTAATTTTGACACAGTAGAAGTACTGAAAATCAATTACAGAGCAGATGAACTCATCACAGTCCTTTATTGCCAACTCAGCTGCAGGACATAATCTGAACTAGGAAAGTAGGGCCTGTTCCCTCTCTGTGTGCAGATTTACAAGAGCTTTTTCATAGAAGACAACATAGCTAGCTTCAGGGATCTAAAATGTGACAAAAAACATCCATAGCTCTGTTCGGTAACCTCTTACATTCTCTCTTTTCTTAGTTTTTATAGCATTCCATTTTCTTATCTGTTGATGCTACATTCAGATGCATTCATATTTGAGGCACAAAGCACAGCCACCTCTGTTAGGGGTATCTACTTAGAAAAAAATTTAATTAGCCAAACTAAAAATACCATGTTAAAACTATTTGGCAGCTTATGGCTTAGACAAGTGTACTCTTCACTTGGTAAAAAACTGGCTGGCTGGATGAGCCCAGAGGGTTGTGGTGAATGGAGTTAAATCCAGTTGGCAGCAGGTCACAAGTGGTGTTCCCCAGGGCTCAGTATTGGGGCTGGTTCTGTTTAATATTTTTATTAATGATCTGGACAAGGGGATCGAATGCATCCTCAGTAAGTTTGCAGGTGACACCAAGTTAGACAGGAATGTTGATCTGCTCGAGGGTAGGAAGGCTTTTACAGAAAGATCTGGACAGGCTGGATTGATGGGCCAAGGCCAATTGTATGAGGTTCAACAAGGCCAAGTGCCACGTCCTGCATTTGGTCACAACAACCCCATGCAGTGCTACAGGCTTGGGGAAGAGTGGCTGGAAAGCTGCCTGGCAGAAAAAGACCTGGGGGTGCTGGTTGACAGCCAGCTGAATATGAGCCAGCAGTGTGCCCAGGTGGCCAAGAAGGCCAATAGCATCCTGGCCTGTATCAGAAATAGTGTGGCCAGCAGGAGCAGGGAAGTGATCGGCCCCCTGTACTCGGCACTAGTGAGGCCGCACCTCGAGTCCTGTGTTCAGTTTTGGGCCCCTCACTACAGGAAAGACATTGAGGTGCTGGAGCGTGTCCAGAGAAGGGCAACCAAGTTGGTGAGGGGTCTGGAGCACAAGTCGTATGAGGAGCAGCTGAGGGAGCTGGGGCTGTTTAGTCTGGAGAAATGGAGGCTGAGGGGAGACCTTACCACTCTCTACAACTGCCTGAAAGGGGGTTGTAGTGAGGTGGGTGCTGGTCTCTTCTGTCAGGTGGCTGGAGATAGGACAATAGGAAACGGCCTCAAGTTGCGGCAAGGGAGATTTAGGTTGGATATTAGGAAAAATTTCTTTTCTGAAAGGGTTGCCAGGTATTGGAACAGGCTGCCCAGGGAAGTCACCATCCCTGGAGGTATTAAAAAAACACATAGACAAGGCACTTCAGGACATGGTTTAGGGGGCATGGTTGATGGTTGGACTCAGTGATCTTAAAGGTCTTTTCCAACCTAAATGATTCTATGATTCTATGAATCTGTGATAATACAGAAGTGGACTTTATGTATTTTTGTTGTATACATTTTATTTCCATTAACTGCAATGGCCCATGAAGATGGTCAAGGAATAACCCTTAAAATGAAAAAGAAAATTTTAAAGCAATGACAAGTAAATAGTTAATCATAGAACTATACTTTAAGCTATTTATGAGTTACAAGCTACACATGAGCTATGTGTAGTGAACCATTCTTTATACAATTGTTTGGAGCTATTTAACTTCACATTTTTCTATATTTTAATGTAAATGTGTTTGTAACTGGTGAATTAATTCATAATGTAGGCAGGTTTTGGGAAAGGAATATCATTGAGAATAAGTTGGAATCTATGACCTTCAGAAATTCAGTCATATCTGCTAGCATGTCATCAGATACTGGGACCTGGAAAGGACAAACTAGTCAATTGCTAGATGGCATTTATGTAGTACTGAATAACATTGCTTTCATCACTTGCTGAGGTTTATGGAATTTAGTAGGTGTGTGGTTGGCTAAATAGTTGAGACGGGACAAATAGAATATATTTGGTGACTCAACCTTTAAATATTTCGAAGTTATTTATCTCCTTTAGAAGATACTTAAATGCTGATAATTAAAACACATAAGGTTGACTGAAAGTGTTTATTTGTCACATAGCATTATGACTTTGTACTAACGTGGCACAAACAAAGGAAATTCTGCCTACCTTTGGAAGAGATGCTCGTGAACCTGAGCTTTGTGTTGTCATGGTCAGTACAGTTGTTATGCCTAAAGCCACTCTGGCTGGAGCTGCATCCATATTGATCCAAAATGACACCCAGGAGAGAATGACGATCAAGAGACTCGGTATGTACATCTGGATGAGATAGTAACCCATCTGCCTCTCAAGGTGAAATCGGACTTCAATACATGTAAACTTTCCTTTTTATAACAAAGAAGAAATATTGAATAGAAATAGAATGTTCTTTACAGTCAACATCTAGTGCACACTCTAAAAAATTTACACTGTCAAATATATTTGTTCTCTAATGAAAGATGGATGTTTCGATTTCTTTTCAGTGATTTTTAATATACATGGTTCCCACTGTAACAGGAATATACACTGGAAAGAAAGGGGACAGAAAAACTGAAAATTTAAGAATTCAGTAACCTCTGGAACTCTTCTTTCCTTATAAAATACAAAACACAATTCATTATGACATAGGAAAGTTGCTCTGTGAGATCACACTTGGTTTTCCACTTACTGTGTTTGGCAATACTGCTGTATGCAAAGAAAAGGCTTGCTCTCCCATTGTATAATATCTCCTTTATCTTTTGTTTCAATTTAAAGCTTAAATTTATTTTTATTTAATCCAATGAATTTGCAAAAAATATAGTGAGACCAGTGTGGGCATTAGGTTATCAATAGGAGATTCTGCTAAATCTCTTCCTTTATCCCCATTCAAACTGTTCCAGCTCAAAAGTACAATGACCGTGATTCAAACAGAAATTGAGAATTTGAGATTAGGCAATTTTAGGATGCTAATTATTTTTTTCCAGATACTGAACATCAATCAACTTCCACTGATTTAACCAAACCAGAACAACAAAAAAAAATCTACTGTTTGCTCATAGAAATGCCATAAAACCATTTTTTTCTCTTATCCCAACTTTTTTTTTTTAACCCAGTAAACTGTAGATTATTTCACAGATCTTGACCTGGTCTCATTAGATTTTATAATTCTTCTCAATGCTCATATTAGTCATGTAAGAATGGTGCTGAAGGCAATGTTATTACTATAAATAGTGTATACATGAAACAGTTTCTCACAGCAGGAAATATACATACATCAGATTTCTTCCTCATTTGAATGAAAGCATTTCCTAATTCTAAGTTTAACATGGAAAGCTATACAGTTATTTATTTTGTGGTATGAAGTTTTTTGGTTATGTTTTCCAGTAGGTTTTGACAGATATTTTCCTAATGCATTTTTATTTGCCAAAATGCCATTTTATAGCAAATTGTTCCACATTAATAGTGCTTTAATATTTACCATACTAACAAAACTTATGTAATGGACTTATTTAGGAGCTTATCCTATACTAATTTAATATATTGTGTATTATGCTGTGACAATAGTCTTAGGCATATGGAAATGAGTTTCAGGTAAAGTCAAACTGAAATGTTTTTATTATAGGCATATTAAGTGCTTGGAAATATCTTTTGAACTTCATTATTTTTGAATAATGTTCTCTTAACAGGCCATTAGTTCTTTCTATGCTGTCATAGTAAAAGTCATTGTATGAAATTTTTATTCTGCTGAGGCACTAAAAAAAATATTTAGAAAGACAGTAGTTATGATGTTCAATTTTAAAATGATATGATATATCTCAGGAGTTTCATATCTGCCGGCTCAATTATTAGTTCCATTCCTAATTGCTGCTGTTTTCTGAATCCTATCTACACTCCTGAAACCTGTGTCCCAAATCCTGGCTCAACCATCTGCTGCCCCAGCTTCAAAACTGATTTCTGCTTCAATCAAGGGATGAAGTCCTGGTTTAACAAAGTGAATGGGAATTTTGATGTTTACTTCAGAAAAGGCCAGGATTTTCCCCTATGTTTCTCTTTCAGGATCTTTGAATGGATACCTGCATGATACATTCTTTTACTTAGCAGCTCAGTACACCCCACGTAACTAGAAGTTCTGCACTGACTGGCCTTTGTCAGAATCATATTCTTACTTCAAAGTGGTCCTTATGCTGAAGATTTCTTTTTTGTGACATTTGTTCTGTTAATCCAGCAGCCTTAGACAGCAGCAGTCTCTTCTCTCATACATCACAGTAAACCATGGTGGTAAGGAGTGACAGAAATGCATCAACCAAGTCTAGGTCTCTTGCAAAGCTGTTTTATTTGGCATCACATCAGCAAGAATTACAGTTCAGCATGCAACATTTTCTTCTTATGCATATTTTCTTCTTCTTTCAAAACAAATTAGGAAGGAAAACGAAGGAGCATCAGAATGGGTAATATATGCATAACTGGAGTGTCAATAAATGTTGGCTATTGCTTGTACTTATTTTTTTTCTCCAGAGAAAGGTGGGTTAAGAGATCTGAGTCTCTTTCCGAGTACTCAAGTGGGCTTGGATTATTACAGAGCTCTCAGCACAAAAATACAGTGGTCCTAAACAGGAAGCAATAAATAATATACTAGCTCTGATGTGGATTATTTTTATGTTGTTGCAAGTTTGCCAGGTTTGTACTAAGGAGAAAGAGAGGAATAGCTGTAGACAACAGAACCCTAAAAAAATTGGAAGATTATGAAAGAAAGAAGTGCAAATGGAATATATTGTAACCACAGAAAAGAAAAGAGATGGGATTATGAAGAGGCCAGAACTAGGACTGGGTGATGTGTCAGAGGAATTATATGGAAAAAATCTTTTTGCTTGGTTTTGTATTTTTGTATCATTAGCCAAGGTAAAAAAAAAAGTAAGTGAAGTGTGTCTCAAAGTGGAAAAATGTCTTTGCTTACGCCACAGAACGTGTGACTTAGACTCCAACCTTCATCTTGGGCTCAATGAGTTTATGGACATGCCAGTCATATGTCCACTGCTTCCCAGGCAAGACCACTGTATTCCTCATGTACTCTGTTCCAGTGTAGCACGAAAAATTAGTATGTGACAACTCCCCAGGCAGACTCATAGCTACCCAGGTAGACACTTCTCTCTGTTACTCCACTGCTGACTATTGGAGAACAGCAGCAGTTGGAAGTCAGTCTCGGCACTGCAATTGCAGTAGTTGCTAGTCTAAGTGTGGAAGGGGTGATGTTAGTTTTTGCCCTTCCTGGCTGAGATTAGAACCACCTGCATAAGCTTGGCTAATGAAGCAGAATGGGAAAAAACACATTTGCACTAGCAGATGTGAGTTTCAGCCAGGAGGCAGCCAGCAGAGGCTGTGCTGTTGTTTCCCAGCTGAAGCCAGCATCCAGCTGTGGGCCTCCTTTCTCTTCCTGTATTCTATTTCGAATTCAAAGCCAGGTTAGCTGTGGTTTAATCTATTTGACTGGATGCTTGAATGGTTCAGAAGAGACATACCCATGAAGTCATCTCGGTTGGGGAAGGAGAAAGACAAGCAGCTAAGAGCATTGCTCTAATAATTCATTTGCAGTACATCAAAGGTAAACTCTAGTTCATTCTGATATGCACTGTAAATGTCATGGAGATTGGCTAGGAGGAGTATATGAAACCTTTGTAGTATTGTGGTTTTCCTGAGGCTGAGTAACAAATTAAGGCCTGATGCCAGTTTTGGACCAGAGCTAAATATAGATGTGCACACAATCCATACAATGGACAGATTTTTGTAATGCAAAAGAAAGAACTGTTACTGAGGGCTTCCTAAAGGATAAACATTTTTCCCTGAAACAGAGGTAATCTTCTTTGTGTTTGTAAGCCTAGCCTAACCAGGGATTCAAGTGTGCTAAAAGCACCAAAAGTGCTGTCTTGCTGAATGCTGTACCTATGCGTATGAAGTGAACGTAGTGGTATATATGCACGTGCATTTTTCTCTCTTACACATGTTCTTTGGTAACAATGTCAGTCCTGCTGGGCTGGCATGATTTCCATGCAATGTCCACACTGAAACCGATATTGTAGTGGAAAAAATGTATATTCCAGTCAGTCTGTATGGTTTTTATTTCTCCTGGAAAGTATAAGTGGCTTTTCTTCGGAGTCAGTGTCTAGGTCACATATTCTTCTTTTGGTCGTTGCTGCTGTGGCTCATTGTGAGTAACATGAGAAGAGCAATTTTTTACCTTAGCATACCTTCACACTGCACAGCCTCCTCTGGCTACAGCAAGTGCTATTTAAGCAGTGGGCTATGAAGGCAGCAGTATACTTGTGTGATTAAAAGGTACTGCCAGCAGTGTGGAATGTGCAAGGGAAATCAAGCATAAGTAGTAGCTTTCAGGACATAAGGAGTCCTTCTTTTCAGTTTCGCCTGCCTCAAACAGCTCCAGAGGTAGTACTTGGTAGAACTTAAATATATTTGTCCCCTTTTAGCAACCCTTAAGATATGGCTTGGGGGAAGCTTTTCTTACTGTACCCTTACAATGTCATGGTCATGTTTACAATTCCCAGGAAGGCTGAGTAGCTGTTTCTGAAGCTACATAGAAAGTTTTCATAATGGAGAATCACCTTAAGAAACTGAGCCAAGGAAATAGTGTGCCTGAGAAATAGGTAATTTCTAATAAAGGTGAGAGTAATTATAATTATTAAATCACTATGAAATTAAAAATTAATAACATAATAAAAATAAAAATAATAAGTTTAAACAAAAAAAAAAGAACTAAGCATGCACAGATTCAGCTATTAATCCACGTGGAATGGAGACATATCTGCTGAAGGTTCTGGTTCTTGATACTACTTAGTAAATCATAGTCTGGACTTCCTAATAAGAAAAGCCATTGATAATGTTAATATCTGATCTACTGTGAAATATCTTATGAATGGAGAGAGGACTGTGGCCTAAAGACTATATAGCTTAATGAAATTACATTAAACTATTTACTTAAAATAAGCATTTTATATTTGCTGAATAGGGAATGATTCAAAGCTTAGCAAAATTGAACTGAACTAAACTAAGTTAAGCAAATCTGAATAAATCTTTATGGAGCCCTGCAGAGTATAAGTCTTAGACCTAGGAAGCAGATATTTTATATTCTGATTCTAACACATCTGTCAATATGGATGTAGACTACACAATTCTGTTTTTACCAGCAACTGGTGACCAACAAACAGCCAGCCAGAGGGCCAAAATATTGCTAACTATGGAGATTTGCTAACAGAGTCCTGGGGCAATTGAACTGTGATGATGGTCCTCTCCTCTAGCACTGCATTTTCCTCCTTGAAAAATAGCTAGAGGCACAGGTTTAACATGAAATTAAGTA